TAGTACACTAAGTGTGGATCAAATAAAGAAACCAACCACTTGTGCCCCATGATGCGAATTCGATTCTCTGTTATTCCTAAGTTCTTGATACTGATTTGTCTCATCATCTATCTGGATCCACATATTTCCTTCCAACCATCTGCTTATCTTCGGATCTGACTGTATACCGTCGAATGCTTACCTTGTTTACTTGATCCTGGATCGTGTTGGGTAATCATATCTGGATCAAGCATAATTATACCCAGATATGGGACCTAAAATTAGGTTCTTCCAGATCGTTTCAGTCAACTCAGAATCAGTTGATCTGAGCCCATCAGACCTTCTCAGATCTGGATCCACCGTAGTCACTTCAGATCCGGGCGTACCTGCTCCACTTGATATGATCACTTCCTGTCTGCAATTTCTCGGAATCCACTTCACCACAATTGCCTCCAGTCTGTAGTTGTTGCTGCCGACCAGGATCACTGCACACACTTCTTCTTATCCTCCATTCGTCCCAGATCTTCAGTTCCGCATTATGTCCAACGCGCAAGCCCCAGTGGATCCTCGAGCGGTGGATCACCCGGATCCGCCGTTGATCCTCATGCCACGCCCGACGAGCTCCACTGCTACGCTACGCGCACCCTTCGTCGTGAGGGCGAGCTCACTGCGGCTCTGGCTTTCCAGACCGTGCCTCGCGGCTCCGATCCGCCATCCGTAGAGCACCTGGACCGTCTGGATGATCTTCGTGATTATATCCGTGAGCAGGATCAAGCGATCGCCTTTATGCAGCAGACGATCAACGATCTTCGCGCGGATCGGGACACGCTGCAGGCTACGCTCGACTCCCACGGCTCCGCGATCCCTGATCAACACGCATCTGCCACCCATGTTCGCTTCCTCGAGCAACAAGTCGCAGATCTGGAGTCCCAGGTGACTCAGTACCTGCAAGAACGTGAATATGCGGGCGCGGAGGTCTTGTATCTGCAGGAGCAACGCAATACGGCGGATCGCGTCCGAGATCAAGCCGCACATCAATTACAGGTCCCTGAGGGAGTACTGTGCCACACTTGTCAAGCTTTGGATCGGGCTGAAGCCGATCTGTTGATCGCACGCCAAGTCGCGGCTGTGGTTTCGCCGGATCCATCTTCATCGGATCTTGAGGCCAAGCTGGATCAACAGATGACAGACCGCGTAGCACTCCAGAATCGGTTCGACCAAGTTTCAGCCGAACGCGATTTATTAAACGTGAGGGTCCAGTCGATGGATAGCGAGGCAGATGCACTTCGCGTCCAGATCCAGGATCTAACAGTTGAGTTTAAACAAGCGAGGTCGCGCTACGAGGTCGCACGCGTCAATTTGGCTGGCGCGGTTAAGCGCGAGAAGGGATATCGCGATGCAAGCAAGGATCTGAGTACGTTTCCCTTTCCTTGATCTAGATCCACTCCCTTTGCTAATAAAATATCATTCTCCTCCTTGCAGAACGTGATGTCACTGTGGCTCGGACTGCCTATGCCGACGCTGAGCGATCAATCACGGAGCAAAAGGCCCAGATCTTGAAGTCAAGTCGCCAACTGGCCCATCTTGATCAAGAGCGCACAGGTCTGCGGCGTGAACTGCGGAAGGCGCTGGAAATGTTGTCCACAGTGGCCGCTGGGATTGGGATCAAGTCCTCCAACGACCAAACTTTGTCTCGATAGTCCTCCCCGAGATCAAGAGCAGCCGGATCAAGAGAGGCGGGATCAAAAAATTCCGGATCACGATAAACCAACTCAGGAGAATTCGGATCAGGACGACCAAAGTATGGAAAGTGGAGATCGTGAGAAGCCAGCTCAAGATCAGCCAAGTCACGAGAGCTCGGATCAAGACATGTCGGATCAAAACAACTCAGAGCTCGACAAGTCTGATCATGATCAGCGTGACAAAGACCCCGACTACACACCCACACCCGACGGGTCTGAGGAGTCTTCTACCACGGACAAGCGTCGAGATCCTCCCCCCCAGTAAGAGATCTCGTGATCTCTCCCCTTCTCGCGACGTGGATCGCCCTTCCAAGCGAAAAGCTCCGATGACTGAAGATCACAAGAAAGATCTGGATCGC